TAGAAAAATTCTCTGTAATTTGTATAGTTTCAAGAATTCTAATAAAGTACTAGCATGACTGCTTAAGTTAAAAAAAATAAAAATAAAAATAAAAAAAAATAAATAAATAAAGTAAATTATATTAAATATTTTTCTAAATTTTACATTTTATTTCTCAAATCCTTAATTCAAATAGATTTTATATATTATTACTAAAACTTATTTTATTTTTATTTATGAAAATATTAAAATACTTATTGGTAAACAAACAGATGCACTTTTACTTTACCTCTCAAACAACCTACTAAACTAGTTTCACTAAGATCTTTGATCTATTTGTAATATATTTTAATATTAATAGAAACAATTTTGAAATATCATATCAAAATTCAAATATATTAAAATTAGTTTACCAACCTTATCTAACTTTTCAAATAATAATATAATTTTTTTTTTTATCTAACTCTTATATCACCAAATAACATTTACAAGGTTACTTACTAACTACCTGTATTTACTAATGTTAAGATAATTACTTAAAGATCTTTTTAACCTATTTTAGCTAAAACCTAATTTGAAATAATTAGCTATAGCATTTATAAGAAATAAGAAGTGTAATGTCATATTAGGTGCCTACTAGTAACACAAATATAGTTTAGAAATCTTTAATTTTAAAACTTATGATTCTATATATATAAAGTTTCTACTTGAACATTATAATAAATAAAATAAAATAAAGTAGATTATGTAATATAATTTAACTATATAATAATGCAAAATAAATTTAAAATTATGCAAAATAATTAAATAAAAAAATATAATTTTAAATAAAAAATAAGATTTTTAAATCTTCTTTAAAAATATTATTTATTTATTAAAATTTAAAAAATTTAACATTTTATTTGAATGTATATTAATGCAATTTTATTATAAGGCTTATTAAAAATAATAATTGTATGTTGAACAAGAGTTTTTTAACGTCAAGTGCAAAGTTTTTTTAATTATTGGATAGAAGATGTCAAATGTTTATCTATTATGGATTTTTTTTCATAACCCATAGTGGTTTGACAAAACTGACAAAAAAGTTTTTCTGTGCATAAAAGTCATCTTTATATGAGGGATTTTTATAAAATCGTTCTGTGACTGTAATCATATTACTTTATATTTTCTTAATTAAACGATCAGTTTTTTTATTAACAAAAAAGAATTAAAAAAAACATTTATAACCGTTTTATAAAAAAAATCTTTATTTAAAATCTTGGATATCCAAGAAAAATCGTTAAAAATCAGATCTACCAATCATGCTTGAGCCACATGACCAGAAAGCTTGATTATGCGGAGCACTCGTGTGAAAAAATGATAGATTACGTGTATACTACGTATGTGATCACATAATCCTGGGCACCCTAATATAAATATACACCTATATACTATAAATATATAAATCAAACTATATAAACATTATATTATACATAAACTATCTTATACGTACAGTGTTAACATTTGGGCATGGACATATAAAAATTTCAAATGTTCAAATTCGCCCAGTTGCCAACACTGATCTTATATATCATTTATGCAAGTAGGTTACACTTGTGCATCGTGAACGCTTTATATATAAGAAATCTATTATTAATATATATTTATAATACCGACGCCAATAATATAAATTTTTAACAATGCTGTTACGTATTAATTGCCTAGTTGGTATTAAATGTTAATTGGTGTGTCACCGGATTGATTAATAATGTATATATACTCATTATTAACCGATTTGAACTTTGGAGAAGACCGAATTAGTAATGCAATATGCGAGTATTACAAAACACGTGAAGTAAGGGTTTAGGGTTAGGCTATTATGTACGTACTTACATGTAGAATCATTATTTTCTAAACAGTTTTTTTCCCCCTATTTTCACCCTTTTTCGTAAGTACATACATGTCTGGACTTTTATGCCGGGCTGATCAAACCTTGCATTTTCTGATTGGTTATTTTCAAGGTTTGTACATATAAGTAAGTCTATTGGATGTTAATTTCCCAATAAGTATTTATTGTCGGGAATGATGATGACGCTGCTATCACTATATCAATATATCAGTACCATCATTTTTTTTTAAAGATATAATTAGGATTTAGTAATTTTTAGTAAGGCTTATGTAATAGTTATCCTGAGCAGTTGGGTATAAGCGGAAATGAAATTTCCGCTTATACACATACAGTAGTGTCCAGGGTATAACTTTTAAATTAAAAAAACCCCTAAAAATTCAACATATTAATAGCGTTAGCGTTTTTTTTCAAAAATCAAAAACGAATCGATTAAACGTTTAACTCTATTATTACTTTCTAGAATCACAATGAGGACAATCATTTGACAATCCTTTACTAATTAATTATAATTCCCGCAGAAAGTAACATGTGACTATTGTGTACCAGATTATTTAATTGGTCGTTACATATAATCAGATCAAATATTCTATCGTTATTCTATCGATACATTTATATATAAGCGCCCAACCCTGTCTTATTTTTTTTGTATTCCGCTCGAATGAAAACTTCATTATTCGTTGTACAATAAAAAAGGCTTGTAAAACAACTTTACTATTTATTCTCATTTCAAAAACTTGTAAGTACTAATTCAAGAATTCGAATGGTTATTCCATAAAAACTTGCACATTTTTTCAAAAGAAATTCATAACGCTTAACGTTTTTCTTGTGAAATAATAGCTAAAAGGTTTATTTAAATATATATTTTTAAAGGAAAAACTCAAATTGTTTTTTATTTTCAGGTATGTTGTTTCTTAAATGCTTGAATGAACGAATATATTACAAGTGAACTTGTTCGTCATGTAAAAACTAATATGTTTCTACCTTATATTTAAATATATATCAATTAAAGATCGAAATGTATAAAACGAATTCGGGTTTTTACGTTATAGATGTTTTACCGCTTCATCATGCTAGCAAGCGCCCTTTTCATCTTGAAAGAAGGATGAAATCCAAAAAATCTACTACTCACGTTCATGGACATGGACATAAAAAATTACCTCAGTGTGCTCCGGATGATGCTCGTATTAAAAGGGAAGCTTTACTTGAGCAAAGACGTCTCAAATTAGCACGTCAGACTTTGCATGTTAAGGAAGTTTTAATGAAACAACATGAGCGTGCTCTTAATGACTCTTTTACAAAGCGATCTCAAATTCAGCAGACTTTGCAAGTTGCTGAGAAAAACAGAAATACTATTTTGCAACGGTTAGTTGAACAATGTGCTCAAGAAGTTGCTAGATGTAAAGAAGTCGCTCGCCAACAACAATTAAAAATTCAAGAAGAAATTGATCGACGTCGTGCTGATCTAGAACGTCGCCAGAAAGCAACTGCTGCTCGCCGTGCGAGACTTCTTTCCATTTCTAAATCACATGTTCAAGCTAATGGTTCTTCACCTAATTATACTCGAGATGAAGCTGCTACTATCATTCAAACTAATTGGCGTTACAAGCATCTTATTGGTGTTATAAAGACTTACCGTAGTTTCGGTATTTCGATTCATACCATCAAAAATATGCCTTTTCGAGATGCTGTTGGCTTATTAAAGGAAAATTCTGTCATTCAAGCAACCAATAAATTTTTACAACGCGTGAGGAAATCTTCCCCCATTACTTTGGGTGTTAGTAAATATAAAAATCCAGCAAGAGTATTTTTGAGTGCTTACATGATCGTAGCACACACTAAAGAAATTCTTGTTGATGTTGGTCATCATGAAAAAGTAAGTATATCTATTTAAAATTGTGTTAGGAAAATATATTTATATATATATTCATGCCATTTATTCACAATTCATTTATCATGCACTAAACTTTATTTTTTAGACTCTCTTAAACTCATCTGAGACTATGTTAAAAGAACTTGAACAATGGTTCACAGAAATTGATAATGATAATTCTAATAGAATTTCTTATAACAATCTTCTTAGTTTCCTTTCAGCATGGGATACTTATTATAAAGATTTTAATACTTGGAAATCAAAAGATTCGGAAAAATTAGCAAATAATCTTATTACTCATTATATGGAACTAGAGAAATTATGGAATACTGTTAAAAATCAGGCAAATGCGGAAACTGAATGGAGGATGAACATTGTTGAACAACAAGAAGAAATTAGGCGTAAAATACGCAATTTAGGTGGTGACGAGGCGATGGCTAAATTGGAAAGAGTTCTTAGAAGATTGAAAGCAAAATTACCAATCGTTGATGGTGAAAATGTTGACATCACAGATTCTGTTACTGGTGCTGTAAATGATCAAGAAAATGATCACAAGGAACAAGATCCGGATTTACCTCCGCGACAGTCTTTCGTACCGCAAACCTTAGCGGCAGACGGATCCGTTGAACTAGCTAATCCAAGCCCTCAATCTATAACCTCTTCAACTAATACTTCAACTTCACACAACCAATCTGCGGCAAATGCTAATCTTTACCATATTATCCAGAGCCTAGGTGGATCCCAAGTTAATTCAGGGTTAACAAATGAACAACTTGCTCACGAGATTATCATCGATCCGGATTTCGAATTGAAGCCTCCAAAAATTTCCGAATTAGAAGAACGTGTACGAAATATGGCTACTAAGGCTTTCTTTGATTCTGTAAGAGCAGACTTTGAACAAGGACGGTATGAGAGATGGGTGCCCGAGCTTTTGTCTGATGTTAAGCAGGTGTGTTTTATATAATTATTATAACAATTGATATTGCAATTTATGTTGATTATTAAAAATATTAATGAATATATATTTTTATATACTTGTTATATATTTCTCATATAGCGTCTTCTCGATCTTGTTCCACCTACTTCTTCTTTACATTCGTCTATCAATGAAGTTCTTGACATTGATTTGATTACTCAACAAACAAAGGCGGGTGTTTATAATATACATAATTGTATTGTTTTTATTACAAATACAATGCTTCAAATATGCGCACCTATTCGTGATGAAGAAATTCAAGGACTTAAAGATTTAAATGATCTTGCGGAAATCTTTCAAAAGTTATTAAATATTTTAGATCAAATGAGACTGGATCTCGCTAATTATCGTGTCAAGGCATTTAGGCCTTATTTAAAGGAGCATGCTATTGAATATGAACGTCGCAAATTTGAACTGGCTTTACAATCCAAACGTATAACACTTGATTTAACAAAATCATGGATTAAACAAACTGTTAATTCCCTTTTGCGTACCAGAGCAGAGCGCAATCCAGAAAATATTCATTTGCCACAACATCGACATAATTATGGTATTAAGTTTAACCAAGTATTTAATGAATCCTTTGTCTCTTTCATTTTTCAACCGTCAATGATTGACAAAAGCAACTGCCCTGAAACTCTTTTGCTTGATATTGAAAGACTCTGGAATTATCAGAATGAAGGGCAGGCCATCACTATTGTGGCTGCTTTGTTAATGCTTACTAAAAATGTGGCAGGTGGAAAGGTTAATAACGCTCCTGATGATCTTACAACCTTAAAGGATACCCTCTTTGTTCTTCTGATGGATGGAGATACGACAATTGATAACTTAACAGCTGAAATTCTATCATATTTCCCATCAACTCTTTCATCTGAAACTCAAACATTAATTAAATCAATGGTTTCCAAAACACTTTCGCAATCTGACAAAGTGTTTTCCCTTTTGTCCCGCCGGATTCAAAATATTATGAAACAACATCTTCAAACGGGGCAATTTCCTAAAAAGGAAACTTTAACACAGCACGGAGTAATTGCAGTTGCCAAAGAATTAGAACAATTAAGCCGAAAAATTTGCATTTTAGGAAGATATAACCGTGAAGTTTATGCTTATTGGTATGATACAATTATTCGTGAACAATTACAAGAAGCTGGTGAAACCAATAAAACAGATAAAAAGCAATCTGACAAAGGGAAATCCAAAGAGAACGAAAATTGATCATGTAAATCTGCGCTCAAAGTGGAATGAAATGAATTTTGATTTGATGCTTTATTTTTTTTATTTTTTTTTTATATACATTATATACATGTATGTTTGTTAATTTGGTACATTAGAAGTTGCAATTTTTTTAAATTTTTTGCGTTAAAAAGTAGCTTCCCGGATTTTATATTTATAAATGGTTTAATTAATTGCACTTTAACATTGTATACAAATTACAATCTACAAACTTTTCAAAACATAAAATTTGCAGACCTATTTTCAAAAAAAAAACCAATTATCTTATTTCGGATTATCTAATTTTATGCTATATCGATTATAAATATCTGAAATAAAGAACTATTGAAGTTCAACGTATCAAATTTATCATATAACTTAATTTCTATATTTATTTTAAGTATATCGATATACTGTAGCCTTATGTTGAAAAGTAAATGCTAATAATTTATACAAATTATATATATACAAGTTATTATTTCCTTTTTTCATGAACCAAAAATGCAGTTAAATAGAATTTAATCGGCTTTCAACCGATATCACAATTTTTTTGATTAAAAAGATGTTTACGACGAGAAAAAATATTATGATTAATTTTATAAAATTTTTTAGGTTGATTAGTATCATTAGTATTATTCAAAGATTGTTTTGGACGACGACCAGAGATGTCATGAATTCTTAACCAAGAATGATTAAAACAATCAGATATAATCATACGACGTGATGGATCAATAGAAAGTAAGTTTTGAATAAAATGTTGAGCTACAAAGAAAAATTATAAACATTTAAAATAACGTACATGTATATATGTTATCATAAGTGAATCGAAAAGATGTATCGGTATCTAAGTACCTAAGTACGTACCTGGTAATGATATGTGATCAGGAAATAATAATGATTGATGCCTTATCGATTGTGTTGGGTCAAATGGTAGGTGATATGTTAAGCTATGTATTCGATGAAATTATGAATATGAATATATATATATTTTATTTTATTTTTTTATTTTTTGATATTAAGCAACAGATGATGACAATAGGAAGAACTTACACGACATAGATAGTTACTCCCAGACTATACATATCAGCTTTTTTGAAACCTTTGAACGGAATGTGTTCACGCGGATCACGTTCTGGACTATAAAATCCTGCCTACAAATAAAGGTTTCTTAAAATAAGAAAAAATAAAAATGAGAAATTTTTATTTTTTTTTAAATAAAAAAAAAAGAATAATCACCGTTCCTTTCATAACTTTCGAGGCTTCACTTTTGGTTTGAAAATATTCAGGATCCTTTATAAGATCATCACATTCTAATTGAGAATGACCAAAATCAGCTAGGATTAAACGTTTACGATCTGATGAAAGTAAAATGTTTTCAGGCTATATAATAAATAAAAAGACTTGAATGAATTAACAATATATATATATATATATATATTTATAATGATATAAATTTATTCAGAGAACATACTTTGATATCGCAATGAGCAATACCATGATCATGGATATATTTAACCGCATCAAAAACTTGAATCATTAAATTAAGAGTCGAATATTCATCTCTACCATTTGGTGGAATACAATCAGCTAGAGTTCCACCTTCATGGTAATCAACAATCAAATAAAATGCGTCTCTACTTATGAACCATCCTATAAAATTAATAATATTTGGCTAAAAAAAAAAGAATGGCAGAAACGTTAAAATATAATGAATAATTTAATTAGAAATGAAAATTTATTATGAATATAAACTTGCATGACAGAGACATGACAGAGTCTTTGCTTCATTCTTGACATATTCATTATTCCATTTGATTGCATTTGTTTCATTAACACATTTATCTCCTATAAACCAACGATTATAATATTTCACAGCAATTGGAGTAACTTTCACGACCACCATTTTAAGAGAGGAATCACTCTTTTTTGGGTGTACTACAGCCAAGTGAATAGTACCAAATTGCCCTCTTTGATGAATAATCATAAAATGAAATATTATAAATATGATGAAATAATTAATATATAAAGTATCAAGATCGATGTATCTACCGTGTAATGAATAAATCATTGATCGTTACCGTTTCAATAGTGCTCGATGATCAAAGATATAATCTCCATAATGATTCTTAGAAATTTGTCTTTGACGAAATTCTTTTTCACGCCGAATTTCCGTAATATTCTAAAATAAATTAATGTCACTATTGTTACCATTTAAAAAATTAAACCAAGATAATAAAAAGAAATCTTTAAAAAATAATACTTTTTGATATTCATTTTCAACTTTACTGTCACTATATTTTTCATATTTCTTTATTAAACTAGTTTTAAATGAAATCCAAGATTTTGAAGCAATACTAGAATTGTTTCCCATATCTCTTTCTTTTTTTCCTCGATAATTATTATTACTTTACCACGAATTGAACAGAGAAACACGAGAAGATAATTTCTAGAGGCGTTGGATTTTTATACAATAAGTAATAAGATGCATAAATTAATTTATTTGATCTCATCATAATATTTTCTCTGATGTATGGTGATATAATCAAAGTATATATTATGAAATAAAGGGTTTTATCTTGTAACCCAAAATCACTATTTAAATCAGATCTTATAATTTTTTTCACCATATGAAAAATATAAGGAAATTGTTTACTGGATAAATGATTGTTTTACTGTCGAAACCCTTAAACAATTAATATCTTGCAGCCAAATGATACGTGCGTACATATTAATATGCGTACTATTAATATATATCTGTAAAATAATAGGTATATCTTAAGGTAAAAAGGCAAGGATGCGGTAACGGTGAATTCCTGTGGCCATTTATCCTCACCAATTGTACATCAATCCTTTGTTTTAGATCTTGTGCATTACGGGAAAACTTTAATTTAAAAGTTTGGTCCCACCTTCTTCAATGTAATGAAATTATCTTGTACATGCGTAACCTAACTGTAAGAAATAATAAACATTTAATACGTAGATTAATTCCCTATTAACAATTTTAAATGAATAAGAATTACCTTAGTTAACTGTAATCATCATTTAGCATGAGCTATGAAAAAAAAGAAGCAATGACAGGTACGTAACACAGTCTTACATAACTCCTGCATGATTAAAAAAGCATGAAGATTTCAGGAGTGAATATGTAAAGATTCGATTCTCACGAATGATATTTCTTTCATGTACACAATCTAAATAACAATCAGTCTTATGCATCTTTTTAACTTTTAAGCGATTGTTCGGTAAGAAAATCCAGAACATTCTTGTAAAATTTAAATGAATCTCTGATCAAATCAACATAATATTTAGTTATCGTTAAATCTTTATTTTAAGATTAAAATTTAAGAAAACATGGGTTTACTAGACCTTTTTAATCTAAACCATTGAAAATTCTAATGTCACTTTCACAGGTTTCTATCAATAAACAATATCTTAATGTATTCTAATAACTAAAACATCTTTGATGTCATTTTTCTTAATACAAAAGTAAGTCAATGGTAAAAAATTATATGTGATATGTGACACTTAAACCTATTATTCTGTTGTATTTCTTTAAAATAATACGAAACAATGAGTAGAAATGGATATCAAAAAAACGTTTTTTTTTTCTTATTTCACATTATTACTATCGCTATGGCTATTTGATATTTATATCGATAAAATGTTATTATCTTTATTTATTAATCAAGTGTTTTTGCTCCTTGTCTCTTGCAAAAAGTAATAATTATTCCAAACGAATTGCTTCATATTTCAATTTTGAGTTATTGAATATTATCTTTATACGGTCATCTTGGAGAAGGATTTTAAAGAAGAAAATCTATATATAAAAATCTCAATCTCTGTAATTACATTTAAATTTTTTTATTTTTTATTTAGAAATATAAGTTATAAAGTAAATTACAAGTTCTAACGCTGAGGATACAAACGATATACTAATCCGTAATAGGTCACATATGTGAAGTTTAAAACTTACTGTTTGTAACAAGTAAAATAATACTATAATACAGGATATATTAACATTAACATTAAAAGATGCTTAAAAATATTATTAAACATATAATGAACACCATTACTGCTACTATTACTCTTACTGTCAAGGTACACCTGTAGCACCAGCACTCTGACACGTGGCAGCACAACTTCCTTCAGCGATTTCATCAGCACCAAATCCACAACAACAACGTGCACAAACAGTAATAAGGCAATAAGAAATGATGATAACAACTAGACATATTACTATTATCATTATAATGGTACTAATGGAAGATTCAACGTTAGAAAAGTCAAACTCAGGCATTTGAATATCAGGAAACTTAAATTCAGGCATTAGAATATCAGGAAATTTAAACTCAGGTATTTGGATATCAAAAAATTTAAGTTCAAGCATTTTTTTTTAGGACTGGAATAATCTGTTGATCGTATAATGTTCGAAGACTTGTCACTAACTTTGTACTTGAAGACGCGACTGTAGTCTCTGATTGGCTCTCTGGTAGATCTTTTATGTATCTTTTATTTATAGGATGACTAAGAGCAAATTGGTATAAAGAATAATAATATTATTATAAATTTATAAATGTCCTGTTTTTTTTATGGCTGTTTTCTAAAAGATGTTAACAGGGATTTCCAATTCTACATAGGTATGTTGATAATAATTACATTTTGGCCATGCAAAATTAATTCATTGGTTTCCACGACATTAGAATTCTTAAATAGACGTTTTGTTGAATTTTATATAAAAATTGTTTCGGAATTTTCAAAATTTTGATCCAGCTAGGTTATGAAGACCAAGAAATTAATTTTGTACGGTCTTATCATTATATATTAAAAATATTTGATTATGTGCCATTTTTACGAAAATTATTGGTTAGAAACGGTATATAAGAATTACAACATATCAATTTACACGATATGATTAAATGGCTAGGTGCTGAAAAAAAGGCCCAAATTGACAAAACAAAAGATCTTCAGAAAATCAATTTTTGTATTGTAAATCTTATAATAAATTACAAGAAATTGCAAATTTTAAAAAGCTATACTGTAAAATTTTATTAATACAACTACTTTTGTGTTTTAAGTAAAAAATGATCCTAATATTATTTTAAATTGATTTATGCAAAAAAATTACTTTTGAAAAAATTGGGCCCTTTTCCCAGCACCTAGCCCAAATATCAACATTATTTTCAGTTTTAATTAGCGAGTATATTTTTGTAATTAAACACCATGTTTTTAACTAGATTGATTTCTTAGTTATCATAACTGGTCAGAGTCGCATAATTAACATTTATAATGAAAGATATTATTTGTGTATATAGTTGGTGGCAAATCAATACGGCAACGGCACGTGCCGTATTATTCTGTAATGCCATAGTATTGAAATGCAATAATATAGTTAAACGAAACGTTAAAGTACTTTCAAGCCTTAAAAGATTTTACTAATTAGATGAATATCTTTTTGTCATTATGTATTTGATGTTTGTAAAGTCATAAGTATATAAATTGTATTTTATGGCTGTTGGGTTTAGACTGTCGTTCTTGTATTTTTTTTTGCGATTTTCACTTTTTTTTCACTGTTTTTTGTCTCTGGTTGATCTGTATCGATTAAAATAAACAATTCTATTGGAACTAGGGCAGGGGTACGGCAAATTTTTGGGCATGCTCTCTGGTTTTTCGGATTTAAAGGCATGCTTTATGAGAATACTTTTTTAATGTATAATTTTTTTTAAAAAAGCATTCCTCTGGGTCACTTATAGATATTAGAGAAATTATAATTTAATTTCTACATTCTATAGTATAAAAATAAAATATCAAATTAAATTTTAATAACTAAAATTTATTAAAATATAGAAATTAATTTATACAGTCGTCATCCTCTATAATTACAAAGTTTGTTCCAAGCAAAAAATATGTGATTATAAAAATTTTATTATAATGTGCTTATATACAAGTATTTTTTATAAGTTTATTAATGAATTTGTTCAAAATTTAAAGTGATTATATAAATTCATGATTATATAGAAGATGATTATAAAGAAGTATAATTGCATTAGATTTAAGGAATTCTCAGAAAGAAACTAGTATGACAGAGTGTAGGCATTACTGTAGTAAAAAATATAAAGAATATTGTTGATGTTTGTAAAAAGAATTGGCCTTGCCTAATATGAAATTATCTTTAATATAACAAATTCAAAATAGGTATAGTATGAGATCTATTTTTATTTTAATAGAGTTTACTTTGAGAATAAATTAGTTATAAAATCTAATGATTAAAAAATTAAGCTTGTTTTAGTATTATGAAAAAATATTAAAAATTAGAAATTTTAAATAGAAAACCTATAGATGGGTTTTAGATATAGTAATCAGCAGGTAACCTGTAAGCAAAACCTTTAATAGACAATGATTAAAGTTATATATATGGTTAATTATAGTCTTGTTGATATGCAAAATATATATATATATTTTTTTAATATTAAAGATGAGTACTTATAATCTAGGTTTTTATTAATAGTATATTTCAGTTTTATGATTATATTACAACAGTTACAGAGGGCAATCATAAAAAGAATATACAACTAATCACTTGTACAATTTTAGTTATTATCTATATAATTTAAATAGTTTGTCTAAAGATTTTATACTAGTTATTATATTTAAAAACTAATTGTAGATTCTCTATTTAAATATTCCAATTTCTGTATTTATCTACCTATCTACTCTATTAATTGTCTTAGTTTTTATCAGTGCAAATAATTATTATTACTAAGTCTTTAAAACAGTTCACTCATATAAGGAACCTTTAATCTTATACTAAACCTATTAAAACTTTTTGTTTCTTAATTTTTAGCTAATCTGATATTATTATAACTAAGATCAATACTTATAGTTAAGGTAATTCTTAAATAGCTATATTTTTGTAAAGTTTATATAATCTTAGTACCCTTCTTTACAACCTTATTAGTAACTTGTACACTCTTACAAGTTTTTTTATACTACTAATCCAATTAGCTTTGCATAATATGACTTTATATCTAGTTCAATTAGTAGTCAAGTTAATGAATTTCTTTATCTAAAGTTCTTGTTTGTACAGATTATCTAGTTCAGGTTTCTATCTTTGGATTAAGATTTTCACAAGTGATATCATTAAAGATTATATTATTTTTCTATTTAGAATTTCTAAATAGAACTTCTTATAAAGTATATAATTTTCAAATTTATTTATATAATATTGCATGTTTCCAAAGTTAGTTTTAATATAATCAAAATTACAGTATTATAATTTTAGATACTCCAATCAAGTTACTAGAATAGGAACATTTTTTTAAAATTCTACTATTAATAAGATTTGAACTCTAAATCTATAACTTAAAAAATAACAATCTACCTACTATATTAGAATTATTATTCTTATAATATTTTTCTTATTTTAGTAAAAACTAACAAAATATTTAACAAAAATTACAAGATCAAAAAAATTTTTCTATAAACTGAAAACAAAAATCTACTTAGTAACATTATAAAATTAAATCTGTTTTACATATATGTTGAATGTCTTTTCAAAATTTTATTATAAAAAATTAATGCATTTTAAAAATTAAAATTTTATATATCAATTTATAAATATATATATAAAATTTCAATTTTAAAATATACTAATTTTTATTTCTTAAACTGTATTTCAAGCAAATTTGTCTAAAAAATTAAATTGTATTTAGTATTTTTTAAATAAAATAATAATTTATTTTTTTTTTTTTTTATTGTTAAGGTGAGGTCATGCCCCCAAGTCTTTATTAGTATATTGGTTCTAGCTAGTACAATTTTTATCATACATCATCTATCACTATATATCTATTCAGACATAGGACTCAGACGTCTTTATCTG